CCGCGGACGGCGGGATTGCCCTCGTAGAGGTCTCGGCGCGGCACCGGTCGGGGGCCACGCCGCCTCTCTCTCTGCCTGCAGCAGAATCTGCGCAGGGCTCCGGTGGGCGTCCGCAGCCCACGCTGTCCCGTTGAGAGCATGGGGCGGGGCGGGGCGGGGGGGTGCCGCGCACAGGACTGAGTCCCGTCGGCGCCCGAGCCGCTTTGTTGTTTCAGCCTCGGGGCGGAAGAGACGCAGCACAGCGCTGGGCACGGCCTCGCCCCCGCCCCCAGTTTTTCTGCAAAGCAGGTTTGGAGCCGCTCCAGGGAGCAACTGATTTGCTCGCAGAGCTGGACAGGGTCATGGCCGCGCTCCGCCTTGCGGGTCCTTGCCTCCGCCCGAGCCACACAGCCCCCGCCCCGTGCAGCTGCCGCCGCGGCCCCGGGCCATCCCCGGGAGGGGTGGGCCCACACGGGCCGCGCTTTTGCATCCCGCTGCGTGCCGGGAGCCTCCCTACCCGGAGACCCCGGCTCTGCACCTGGAGGCGGCCCCAGCCCCCCCTGGCTGCCCCCCGCCCCGCCGCGCGCGCCACTCTTCAGCGCGGCGCGGACGGCATCTCTGCAGTGAAGCAAGATACATTCCCCTGGCCGCTTCCTGCCCCGCCATCTTGGTCTTCATGGCAACAGTTGCCGGGCCGACACACCTGGTCCTCATTAGAGGCACAAGAAAATGGCCGCGGGACCGGAAGAGACGAGCTTTCCCCGGCCGTGCCTATGCAACCATGCAGTCTTCACGTAGCTGCAATTCCACAACAGCTCCCTCCCAGGCTTGGATGCAGGAATATAGTGCTAATCCCAACCGTAATAAGTAATGAGGCTATAATTTAGGTTGCAAGGCATAAAAGATTTATTAATGCCACAAACAAGCAAAAACGGCTAGCCGGGCGACTGGAGGAAACCCCTGTTCCTGCCGTGGTCCACAAAGGGGAACAGAAACAGCCCTTATTATACCCTTCTTTGCCACCTCCCCCCAAAGTCATGTCATCAGTCCATTGGTGGAGGTTTCGCAGGCTGCATCCTGCTTGGTTCCCTCTTCGCGGGCCAACTCTGTGTTGGTTTCTCCTTTCGTGGGCAATCACCGTTGCTGAGGGGTGTCCACCAATGATTTAAAACCCATTAGTCTGTATTAGGCCGTGGTCCTGGAAATTTCCATCAGGATGACGGTTGATGACCTGGACTCCTCGTGGTCGAACCCTTCATGTTGTTCCCTGTTAATACGCTTAGAACAGGCAGCTTTAAAATACAATATGCCAAATCATCATTGCGTTGTGTATAATCAGACCGCAGCTTACAGAACTTGTGGTTAGGCATTGCATAACACTTTAACTTGTGATTCCAACAAAGCAGTCAACACAATATAACTCTTTCTCATTTGAACAGCAAATTTCTTTAGATCACTTATAACACAACCATATACCTTCTCCTTCCCATATTTTTTCTTCCCGCATTCCTGGTGGTTTCCCCCACCTCCATGTCTTTGCCTAGTGTCTAAGGGGTTTGGGGGGGGGGAGGCAGGAGGGTTAGAGTCAGTTTCCACGGACGAGTCTGAATTCTTTTGTGCAGTCTTTAAAGGGTCCATAATTTTTGTCCATGTGGCTAAATTTCTAAAGGCTTCCATATCTTCTGAAGTTGCTTTTTCTCTCTACATTTTCCTAACTTTTTGCCAAACAGTCACATTAAGAGTCCTGACAGGCAGTAATTCCATTATAACTACGACAATATATACTAGTAGCACTTCAGCTTTTTCTTCCATTTTTTGGGAAAACCTCCCTATGGGAACACCTCTCTTCCTCCTGATAGCTCACCTCTTTCTGCTGAAGCTTAGTTTTCTTCTTTTTTCCTTTTCGATCCCTTTTTGCCACGACCCGCGGGGAAAGGAATGGGATCGGGCACTGCTAATAAGGGTCCGAACACAGTAGAAGTCTCAGGAAGCAATGCCAATCTTTATTGGGGAACAGCAACTTATATAGGGTAGGTTTAGGGGTGGAGTTTGGGCTAGGGAGAAGCATAGGACTGACAACTCAGGGATGAAGGTGACCGGGCAACTGGGTAAGGAGGGGAGGAGTTTTGGGTGTAACTGGGGGAATGGGCCAATGACAGCTACCTCTGCATTGCACCAAATACTAACCAATGGCAGGCAGAGGAGTGGGAAAACAGGGAAAAGGCGGGAAAACTGTGTGGGGAAGAAAGAGACAATATGGAGGGTGATTTTAAAAACAACAACTGGGGGTATACATAACAATACAACAATACAGTAATGAACTGGGGAGAACTGGGGCAAAACTGTCAAGTCCATGGGGTGTCACATCCGGTATAAAAGAGTCCAGTTCAGTATACAAGTGTCTATTTATGGGTTATAGATCCTTCTCCATGCTTCGTATCTTTGCCATTCTGTTTCATCTCCTCCAACACCTTTTCCTTTCTGTCCTATCTTGCCAGAGATGAGTGATGCACGCGACATGTTGAAGAATTCTTCCTTTTTTCTTTTAATTCTGTCAGGAGGACGCTACAGGCAGACATCCCAAAGCTTACAGCTTCTGGTTCTTCAATGTCTGTTTAAAGTCCCTGTTACAGGGGCACCATCTGTAGCACTTGTATGGGCACGAACCCACATGAGTGCAATAAGTGAAATAGCTTTATTACCAAGAACAGCAGTTTAAATACAGAGTTCAAACTGTAACACGTGACCTTTCAACCAATGACATTAGCGCACCTCAATGCGCATGTGTGATAAGAGTCCTAAAGAACAAGTCCCAGAATGCTTTGCAGCATTCTTTCTCTAATATGAATTGCTACAAATTTCTTCGCTAGCTATTCTTACAGGAGTATTTCAGTTTATATACATACTCCTGTCATATTGTCATGGTTTCCTATTGCCTGGATCTTTTAGATCACAGGGTTGAAACTCCAAGTCCCTTCTTACCCATTGCTTTTCATTCTTTAAACTTCAGCTTCAGGAGACTTAAGTTATCTTAAGTAACAAAACAAAGTTTCTTACTTGCCAGATTATGCAAAAAACCCAACAAGAGCACATAACAGAACTGCATCCTGTGGCTTCAGAAATCAAGGCAAATGCTGAGAATTCAAGCCAAGCTTCAAAACCACCCTTGTCTCAAGGTATCTCAGGAAACAGCCAATCTACTACACAATATCTAAACACTTGGTGGGTTGCAATGGAGCTAGAATACTATCTCTGATTACCCCAGGCTAATTGTACCAGAAAGATTTCCGGACAGAAAGAAGGTGAGGTGTTTACCAGCTTGAGACAAAATGGTTTTTTTAGATGAAAATGCAAAATAAGGAAATGTTGAATAAAAACTCAGAAGAGCACTCATTTGTCATTTAAAGACATTGAACAAACATTAGCTACCACTATTATTTGGACCATACTAGGCAGTGCTGAAAGTCTTTGAATTTCCCCGTGGTTCCTGGCATTCACACGAAGACTGCCACAAGCTCACAACAACTATGACTTTATCAAAGTTGAAAAGGTTGCTTTACTCTCCAGGAATGTGGTCATAAATAGTTACCAGGCAGGAGGAGAGATTTCAGTTGTCAAGAATTACAAAAACCAAAACCAAACCCAACCAAACTAAAACTAAACCAAACCAACCAACCAACCAAAAAAATTCCCAACTAAAAAACCAACAAAAAACTCCAAACCAAACAAAAAAAAAAAAAATCACATTTTGTGTGTTCACAATCAAAGTTACAAGCACATGACAGGAGGCTGCTGGACTTTTCCCTGAGCTGGGAAAGGAAAAGGAATTTCTGCTCTGTTGTCTGTGATCCTGAGATTAACTCATTTGTACCTGAGTTGAGGCCTGAGCTCAGAGCACCAGAAAAGCAGTCAAATTACCACAACCCATTTCCTTCACTCTTTTGTTTCTTCTTTTTTTTTAATCAGTAGCCAACTTTCTTTTAAGTGCAATCCCTTCCTTATTTGGAGACTAAGAGCCTTTGCTAATGTAGCTGATATCGTGGCATGTTAATGTATGTATTTTGGATTTCTCTTTAGACAAGACACAATTTATTCTGCTTTAAGCATATTCCTAACATAACTACATTATGATTCCTATATCTTTTCAATGTTCTAATGTCTTTGCTTCTTGCCCCAGACCGTAGGGTAAATAAATGGCCTCAGTAAACTCATTGTCACTCATAAACATCACCTTCATCCTCCAAAGCCATAGCTTGCCCAACGGTTTTCACTTGGATCAAAAATACACAAATAGTTTCAACAGCAGTCCATTAAATACCATGGTAACCTGCTGCTTTTGATTATCCTTCTCTGTGCCATAACTGCTGTGAAACAGAGAGTGACAAGCCAAATGTAATTTAAATACTGTGGTGTGCTCCAGATGTAGCAGCAATTTGCCAGGTGTTTATTTTTAATGTATAACTTGAAATTCTACCCCATTAACTCATCTTTTGCTCTAGAAAAACTCACTAAAAAGATAGATTTCTTGCCACAAATACCTTAATATAGTCACAATTGTGACTGTAATTCCTTTGATTTTGGTAATGAGGAACGGGTTTTTTATTTCCCCTCCAGGGCTAAGTATTAATTAAGGACATTTCTGCTACTATTTTGAACCAAGGCCACACCACACAATGCATGATCCAAAAGCAACTCAAGTGAAGGGAAAAGTTTATGGCATTGCTGTTTTAGATGGCTGTGGGATGCAGATTTGGCCTTAAGGTATCTACACGTTTCATACCTATCTAGCACATTTGCACATGCTTTCCCTACAATTCACTGATGCAAACAATGTTCAGCTTTGGTTTTGTTGTTGTTGTTTGGTTTGGGGTTTTTTTAAACTAGGATTTCAAAACCCTCTTTTTGAAGCCAATAAAAGCAAGTTGTCAGGTATGCTGTGTAACAATGTGCTTTTTTACACCTGAACTTGGAACTCCCAATACATGTGAAGATCTGGTGGTCCAGTATTTAAAAAAATAAAACCAGTAATCACCAGGCACCCAACATCTGTCCTTTAAAATATTCTGTAAAAGGAGGAGGTATATTGGCTTAGATCTCAGAACAATGAGAGGAAATCAACTTGTTGCATTATGCTGATCTTTGCCTTTCTTGCATGAAATAGTAGACTTTTCATGATATTGGCAGAAAATGGTCTTCTCATGAACACATGGATAAAATGGGGAGATGCCACGACCCGCTGGGAAAAGGGAATGGGGTCGGGCACTGCAAGGAAGGGTCCTTCACACAGTGGAGGTTGGTGAAGCAATGCCAAAGTTTATTTGAGGGGTAACAACTTATATAGGGTAGGACTGTGGGTGGAACTTGGGCTAGGGAGGAGCAAGAGACTGACAACTTGGGGATGGAGGCAATTGGGCAGCTGGGTAAAGAGGGGAGGAGTTTAGGTATTACCGGGGGAATGGACCAATAACAGCTACCTCTGCACTGCACCAAGCTCTGACCAATGGCAGGCAGAGGAGCGGGAAAACAAGGAAAAGGCGGGAAAACTGAGGGAAGAAGAAGGGGACAACATGGAGGACAAATTTAAAAACAACAACTGGGGGTACATATAACACTAAAACAGCATAACAATGAACTGGGGGTAACTGGGGTACAACAGTCATAATTCAGAGGGTGTCATATTCAGTATTATAGGTCTAGTCCGGTGTATAAATGTCCTTTCAGGGATTATAGATCTTCCTCCACGCTTCATATCTCTCCCAATCGGTTTCCTTGCCTCCAACATCTCCCCCTTCTTTATTTTGTTGAAACGTAGCGATGTTAGCCTGGATGGAACTTAACAGCAGCTTTCGTAGACATAAAATCAAACAGGGTAAGATGGCACAAACAGAAACCAAACCAAAGAGAGACAGAACACCCAACATAATAAGTTTTCTCGACCAGGTAGGTAAATTTGGCAATTGTATCCAATCAAAGAGGTTATCGAGGCTTCCCCCTTTTTCCTGATGAATTTCCCGGACCAAACCTTTCAGCTGGTTGATGCTTTGATGGATCGATTCGGAATGGTCCGAGAAATTCATGCAACACATACCTTCAAATTCTTGGCACCCGTGACCGTGTGCCAAGAGAAGGAAATTGATGGCAGCTCGATTTTGCAAAGAAACCTCTTTCAACTTTTGGGTGTCCTCGAGCAGGCCCTCAATCGCCCGAGTAGTGGCGTTAGCCTCTTTGGTCAACCAGCACCCCAAGTGTGTCAGGAGAGAGAGGGCATGCGCAGTCCCTATCCCGGGGATAGGAAAAGACGCCCAAAAGTTCTTCACCCTGGACCAGATATGAATATTCGAATCACAATCTTCTGGGAAGGGCAGAGGAGTAGGCCAATACTGCGGCCTTCCAATATTCATATGCGGTGCAGGGAGGGAATTTTGAATCCAAATTGGCTGGGGAGCGATTTCAGGTTTCGATAAGGGTTTTGGAGCAAGGGGTTTGGGTTCAGGAAACCGAAGAGGGGTGCCCATCGCAAACGAGAGGGACTTTTTGAGTCTATTTTTTGGATGTACTAATTGATTTTCTAGATGGAATTTCGCCGGATTAAAAAGGGCTAATTTTCCTACTGTGCAGGGACCCCCTTCCGGGTAGGCCCGAATCCCAGGCCATGCCTGATCCCCGCACAGCAGGAAATATCCTTTTGGGAGTCTCATATTGCGTGGGATGTGTTCCGTTGGCACAGTGGTTGCCACTGAGCCATTACACCATGGCGAATTGGTCTCTTTGTAGATGGGCTTAAAGGGGGTAACATCAAGGGGGGTAAACAAAATCGGTTGGGTGTATCTGTGAAAAATAATACAGGTTGTGGAGGGTAGTGAACCTAAAAGGTCGATTTCTTGAAAAGGAATGTCTACAAAAGGTAGCACGGAGATGGTTTGCGCTAGGTTTGGGGAGTTAAGTGGTAGGGGTCCCTGGATCCGCGTTTGAGACACAAACGCAGTCCATTCTGATGGTGTGATAGGGATCCCTACCAAACATGTTTTGAACGGGCTTCCGGCGCTAGTCAAGGCCAAGCATAAGGTGTCGGTGCCAGTGGCCTTGGCCAGCGTTACCCACAGATTTTGCGATGGCTGGTTCATCCATCCTTGTAGTGGGACGGTGACGGTCCGATGGACGAATCCAACCAAGAGGATCAATGGGAGGTAGCGAAGCAGCAGCATAGGTGTTTCTTTCTGCGTGGTTCTTCTTTATCCTCGGAAGATTTTTACGCGTTGCGCTGGGACCCACTTTGGTCCTTCGGGACCTGAAATACACGCGTGGCCCTTTCCCCAGGTGATTAGGGGGAAAGGGCCCGTCCATTTTTCTGTTAACGGATCTTTAAACATTACTTTGGCTTTGTGCTCGGATAACGCTGGAGAGATTGTTCGGAAATGGCGATCTACAGGACTTTTGCTCATGTGAGTATCTGTGTCCTCCATCATATTGAGAAAGTTCAAAACATACATTACTTTCTCTAATTTTTCTTGGGGAGAGAGGCCAATACTCCCCCCTTTTTGTTTTTTGAGCATATTTTTTACATTTTGGTGTGCACGCTCTACTATACCCTGTCCTGTGGGGTTATGGGGGATCCCGGTGGTATGTTGTATCCCCCATTGTTCAAAAAACTTCTTCATGTCTGCAGACACATAGGAGGGTCCATTATCTGTTTTAATCTGCTTGGGGACTCCCATCCTTGCGAATGCAGACAGGAAGTGTTTTTTGACGTGGCTACTCCTTTCCCCAGGATGCACGGTGGCTACAATCATCTTGGAAAATGTGTCGATAGACACATGTACATACTTTAGTTTGCCGAATTCAGCCACATGGGTTACGTCTGATTGCCAAATTTCCAAGGGTGACAAACCTCTTGGGTTTGTCCCCTCTGGGACAACAGGTGTAAGTGTTTGGCAATCGGCGCAAGCCTTTAAAATTTCTTTTGCTTGAGATAATTTTAAGCCGAATTGTTTTTGCAGTGACCGCGCATTCTGGTGAAAAAATTCATGCGAAAGTTTCGCCTGCTGGTGTAAATTGGGGGTTACAGCCATACCTGCTAGGTGGTCGGCGAGCTGGTTCCCTTCCGCTACAGGACCGGGTAGAGTGGTGTGCGAGCAGGTGTGGACAATATAATATTCAAATTCTCTTCTTTCTATGAGAAACAATAATTTGGTTAATAATGTGAATAAATTTTGATTAGTTACATCTTTTAGGTACGAATTTTCAATTCTTTTGACCACACCCACTACGTAAGCCGAATCGGAAATTATGTTGATTGGTTCACCACTAAAAATTTCAAAGGTACGCACAACTGCTGAGAGTTCTACGATCTGGGGAGAACGCTGTACCTTGTGGATATCTTGTTGCCAATCGTCATTTTCTTTCCAGACTATTACTGCGTTTCCTGTTCTCCCCGAGCCATCGGTAAAAACTGTTTTCGCGTTTTGGATGGGTATTTCAGATTGCATAATTTTTAGTCTAATCGGAATCTGAACCAATCTCTGTATGAATGGGCACGCCAGGAGATGCAGCCGAATTTCTCCCGGGTAGCCCCCGATGGCTATTTGAAAGTCAATAGAGGTCTGCAGTAGTTGGTCTAAATGTTCAGAAGTCAGTGGGAGATAAATGAAATTTGGTTCTTCTCCACTGAGTTCTAAACACCTAGTGCGACCCTTGGATACTATTTTGCCAATCATTTCCACTATAGTGGTGATAGTCTTGCCAAATTGATGAGGGAGGAACATCCACTCCCATAAGCAAAAGTCTTTGTGGTCGCCCGTGAACTGGCCCAGGAGGGCCAACGGCTGTCTTTGTTCCCTGAACACCACTAAGGAGGATGGCAGTCCCTCCATCCTCCTACATGCTTGTCGTTGTGTGATCTTCTTCTCAACAGTGGTAAGGGCTCTGATTGCTTCTGGTGTTAAAGTTCTGGGGGAGGACAGGTCAGCGTCTCCTTTTAGCAGCTCGAAAAGGGGATGCAAGTCCCCGGTTGTGATCCCCAGCACAGGTCGGATCCAATTGATGGCACCCAGTAGCTTTTGGAGGTCATTTAAAGTTCGGACATTTTTGTCAATTGACACTGATTGAGGTCTGATGTTTTTTTGTAGTAATTTGGAGTCCGAGATACCTCCATGGCACTTCCCTCTGCACCTTTTCAGGGGAGATTTCCAATCCCTTTTCTTTTAGAGCCGAAATTGTGGAATTTAGTGTTTCGTCTACCGCCAATTGGGAATTTGCGCAGATCAATACATCATCCATATAATGGAAGATGATTGACTGCGGATACTTCAGCCGAATGGGTCTCAACACCTCTGCCACGAACATCTGGCAGAGTGTTGGGGAATTTTTCATCCCCTGGGGAAGCACTCGCCACTGGAACCTGCGGTGAGGCTCACAAGCGTTGACTGCAGGGACAGAAAAAGCGAATTTAACCGAATCAGCCGGATTGAGAAATATGTGGAAAAAACAGTCCTTAATATCAATGACCACTAGGGGCCATTCAGCAGGGAGCATAGATGGTGAAGGCATTCCCTGCTGGAGGGCTCCCATTGGTTCAAGGACCTCGTTGACTTTGCGCAGGTCCTGGAGAAATCTCCAGGAACCTGAGGATTTTTGGATTACGAACACTGGAGTGTTCCAGGGACTCCAAGTGTCCTTTTGCTAATTCCTGATTGACCAGATCATTTAAAATTTGCAGCTTTTTGGTAGGTAGGGGCCACTGATCGACCCAGACTGGCGTATCTGTTTTCCAGCTCAGTCTGGGGAGCTGCAGTACTTCAGTGACCCCTCCTAAAAATTTTCTTCTGGAGACAGGGTCCCTAATTTCAGTTCCCACTGCTCCATTGCGTCCCTACCCCAAAGTGTAATTGGTATGTTCAGTACATACGGTTGGAGCGACGCTGGTCTGCCCTCCGGTCCGTAGATAGTAAGTACTTCTCTACTCCTGACAGGATACTGTGTTCCCCCCACGCCACTGACTTGGACGTATGCAGTTTGGGCTGGCCACCCGTGTGGCCAGTCCCTGGAGGCTATGATGGTGACGTCCGCCCCCGTATCGAGAAGGCCTTCCACTTTGACCCGCTGCGGTCTCCTTGGCTGTGAATAATAGATAAGACAGGTTAGGAGAGGGCGAGAGGTTTTGACTGTCATGGTCCAAAGGACTTCCTTCTCTGACGTCTGCCTCTGCTCCTCATCCACCGACAGCGCGCACAGCAGGTCTTCAGTGGAGACCATCTTCGCTACGGGGAAGCGGTCCTCCAGCTGCACAGGGGGAAGATGGACAGTTAGACATATGGCGATGTTAGAATATGTCAATCCTGTCAGGAGAGTGGGTACTACCACGATGCCCTTACCGACTGCTGAGAAATGCGATGTCACTAGGTACGTGAGATCTGGGTCAACTGGGGTCGATGGTATGACCCTGGCTAGTTGCTCGTACGAGCTCAAGTGGGTAGAAGGATGGATGACACATAAGATATTCCAATTTAAAGGCTTACACTGTTCCCTAACGGGAACAGGGTCCGCCAGGGGCAGTCGGATTACGGGGTAGCTGGGCGTGGTGGTTGACGCAAGATGGAGTGGGGGGCAACTTGTGTCATTGTGCCCCCCCGGGCGCTCAGCTCCCCGTTTCCCGACTGCTCACATGGACACTGCCTAAGGTCCGGCATTGATGAGAAGGTAACTCGCTTTCTGAGCCTAGGCGATCGCTTGGGGGAAAGGGGTTCGCCATTGATGTTGGTTACGGATCTGCAGCTTGAGGTCCAATGGCGACCCTTTCCACACCTGCGACACAAGGTGTTCGGTAAGTTAGGCTCAGATTTGAACTTAGGGCAGTGCTTCCTATAATGTCCTTTTTCTCCACACTCAAAACAATGTTGGGGGCCCGAGAAAGCTGCAGCCATTATACGTGCCTTATGGGCATTGGAACCAACATTTTTGCATGCTTCTATCATCTCCAGCAAAGTGGGATCTTTAAGCATCTTTAAAACCCTCTGGCAGTCTTCGTTCGCTTTTTCAATAACCAATTTATTAAATAGAATCTCCTGACTTTCTTTTTGGTGTACCTGCCGAGCTATCGCTTCCTTGAGCCTAGTAATAAAATCAACAAATGGCTCTTTAATGCCCTGATTAATAAGCGTAAAAGAGGGCGCCTGCACGTACGCGTCCGCCACTCTTTTTACCGCTTCTAAAGCCAATTCTTTCGTTACGTTCAACAATTTGGGGTCTAATCTTGTCTGATCCCCTCTGCTGGAGTAGTTCCCTTCCCCATAAAGCATGTCAATGGCTTGCCTAATTGGAATCCCCCTTCTTTCCATTTTTTCGTTAACAAAAGCTACGATCCTTTTCTTCCATTCAGCCTCGAATACCGAGGCTTGAACGGTGGTAAACAACCCTCCTATGACTGCCTGGATGTCATATGGGATGAGGGTGTACGCGAGGAAAAAGGATTCCAATAGGCCGATCGTGAGAGGGGCTCCCAACCCGTATTCGACAATTGCTTTTTTAATGTCTTTTAACATCGGGTAGGAAACCGGCCGCCACTCGGGGGGTTTCCCTTCCTCGTAATAAACCGGGAACACCTTTAAAAATTCAACATCTTGGGCGCGCGCGGCTTCCTCCCGGAAGGCTTCCCAAATATCCGGGACGGAGGGTTGCCTATCCGGGGAGCGCGGCGCCCACCCATAGTCAGAGTCCGGTTCACGGCAGGCGGGGTAGGCCTTGGTGTTATGGGGCCTATGGGCGCGGCCATCTTTCCGGAAGGAAGATTTGACCTTCGCTCTTGCCCCGCCCACTGCTTCCTGTCTTTGCCGGGGGGGCGACACATCGGGGGAGGAGACGGGAGTGGTGGAAGTGGGCGTAGTAGGAGGCGTGTCGGGGGAGGGACTTCTCGCGCCACGTGTGGGAGGAGAGGGAGGCGGCCCAAGGGGTGGAACTACAGGGGCCCGCCTCTTCTTTTCCCGCGCTGGTCTTCCGCGTGCTTCACCCTCCCCCCTTCTTTCTGGGCGATCTCGGGGTCCCTCCTTCTCGACGCCATTTTGCGATCGACGCGTTATTCTTCTCCGCGCCCTCCCGCCATCTTGCGATGTGGTGTCCGTTTCTGTCTCCCTCTCGCCATCTTGTGCGCCCTCAGTGTCTGTGTCCTTTTTGGTGTCCTTCATCTCTTCTGCTGGGAGGCTGATGTTCGTGTTCATCATTTGGTGCTGTAGCACCATCAGAACAAGCCTCCATGCAATTAGAGCTTGTTTCGCTAATCTGTCGCCTCTATCAGAGTCCCGCCATAAATTATATCCTAAGGCTTGCCATTTATCTAGCGAGATGTTATCCGTTATGGTGCAGCCTTGGCGGTCCAGCCACCTCACAAGTGCTTTAGCAGATTTTTTGTCTAACGGGTGGCCATGTTCTATGACAAAGTCCTTGAGGCGACGGTACACAAATTTTTGAGAGGTCGAGAGTGTCAGACCCATGATGTTATTAGTCGCACTCTCTGGTGTTACTCCTCCCTTTTAAAGTTTTTGTTGCGGGGATGTGGTGTGGGGTGAAGGTAATGGGAATGTCCCTTGCGGCTCACCTTGTCCGGCGTGTGACCCGCGCGACTAAAGGAGTCCGCAGTCGTCAGCTGCGCAAGGGAGGGTCGGCGGAGCAGTCTTCCCTCTTGAAGCTGCCTGAGCCCAAGTGGTGACACAGGAGTTCCCTTGATTCAAGAGACCTCCACTGTGCCCCACGTTGGGCGCCACTTGCCACGACCCGCTGGGAAAAGGGAATGGGGTCGGGCACTGCAAGGAAGGGTCCTTCACACAGTGGAGGTTGGTGAAGCAATGCCAAAGTTTATTTGAGGGGTAACAACTTATATAGGGTAGGACTGTGGGTGGAACTTGGGCTAGGGAGGAGCAAGAGACTGACAACCTGGGGATGGAGGCAATTGGGCAGCTGGGTAAAGAGGGGAGGAGTTTAGGTATTACCGGGGGAATGGACCAATAACAGCTACCTCTGCACTGCACCAAGCTCTGACCAATGGCAGGCAGAGGAGCGGGAAAACAAGGAAAAGGCGGGAAAACTGAGGGAAGAAGAAGGGGACAACATGGAGGACAAATTTAAAAACAACAACTGGGGGTACATATAACACTAAAACAGCATAACAATGAACTGGGGGTAACTGGGGTACAACAGTCATAATTCAGAGGGTGTCATATTCAGTATTATAGGTCTAGTCCGGTGTATAAATGTCCTTTCAGGGATTATAGATCTTCCTCCACGCTTCATATCTCTCCCAATCGGTTTCCTTGCCTCCAACAGGGAGAGTCATCATTCATAGCAGTTATTGATAGGGCTAAACAGCCTATATGAAGATTACCAGCAAGCCAGGTTCCAGCATGTCTAAAACAGCCTTTATTGCAGTGCACGCATCTGTAAAACAAAGTGGTGGCTCTCCTGTTTTAAGAAAAAGAAAACATTTTGCATAGAAGTGTAAAACTTCTCTGCCTTGCTGCCATGTAATCTTCTTAAATAAATTAAATGCTGACCTTAAGGGGCCTTACGAACACCAAAGGGATGCAGCCACTCGTGGGTTCCCAAAAAGAGTGGAAGAAAATCAAGATGCGGCTTAGAGGATCTGTAGGTATGTTTTCTACATAGAGTAGGATGGATCCTTCTCATAAGGCAGTTACAGTTATTCCCAGACGAAAGGTACTCCGTCTCCTAAAACAGGTGCCTCAGACCCAGAGATCATTATTTCAGTATATATGGGGACAAAACAATAAAACCTTTTTGAGCTGAGCTTAAGGTGGCCTTTACTTCCTTGCCTTTCCTTTTGGTCTTCTAGAGGGAATGTGTCAGAATTTAAATGCTTTTCTTTCAGGCCTGGAAAATATAAGTGCTGAGACTTCGGTTTGTCAAGTTTTGGTTCCGTGACTCATCACGGGAACCCTGCACACACAGCACTGAGAAATGAGCATATTTGGCTCCTCATTGTGGCTGAGAGAATGGCCCAGAGGAATCTGTGCTCACAGCTATCACTGGAGACCAAACAGCAGGACAAGTTTGGCAGAAACTGAGGTCAAATAAGCTCCAAGATCAGCAAGCTCAGTGGTGTTTTTCTAGAGCCACAAGGCTTCCTAGCATTGCACTTGACAGGTAATTTCCAAAACGGCAAAGCAAATCCTTTCCCCCAGTCTCCCATGGAGTAAATGGAGAGCCTAGATTTTGAGACTGGCAAACAAACTCCAAAGCTGCTGAAATTTTCCATTTTGGGGCAAAAGCAGATTGGGATAATGTATTTTCTGAGAAATGGTCTGCACTTCGCAACATATCTTTAATATGAGAGTCACTCCCACTTGCCAGTGAACCAACTTTTCCTCCAAATTTGCTTTGACAGTGTTTATTCCCGTTTTGAACCTCATATTGTTTCCATTACTTTGTTATTTTAAGCTGGAGATCTAAGCTTAGGCAATGTTCACTCTTAAGTTTTAAAAGCAGAGACACAATATATTCTGTTGTCTTTCACAGGTCAAAACCAGATAATTTAGTCTTTTAGGTGATATGATAAATATTGAGTAGTTCCCACTGGCTTTTATATTGGCTTTTGAAAAAAGTCCATGCTTTGGACATTCAGTCTAATCTATTTGTCCTAGTTAGAACAGCTGGGACCAGTTCATCACTATATGGGTGTAACCCAAAACTGTGTATTCTATAGCCTTCCATGCCATTTCCCAGAAACTGTTATCAATAGACTATTTGCACCCTCTGCCCAGAGCAGCCTGACTCCTCAGGCTATAAACTAGGTGTTAAGAGGCCTGCAAGATGGGAGGGTGCCTCCCTGTCCTCACACCCTCTGTGGAACTCCCCGCCCTGAGGGAAGTACTGGGCATTCCTGTCTGAACTGGAGAATATATAATCTTGGAGTCTTGAAACTTTTTTAACCACTCGTGGGATCCAGAGGAAGACTGCAGACCACCGCTCTCAACCAGACTGCAACCACCACCCTTGACTGGACTGCAATCACCACTTTTCAAGCAGACTGCAACCATCACTCTCGACTGGACTGCAGTCACCACTCTTGACCAGACTGCAACAGCACTCTCACCAACAGGTTTTCCCCTCTCCTTTTCCTTTGGACTCAGGGGGCCCAAGGAACACCACTCTGTTCATGCCCCAGGGTGCTGGGTTATATATTTGGGTTTTGTGGGTTAAAACCAATTGTTTGTCTGTATAATCGTACTTATTGTATTATTTTATGAAATTATTATTCTGACTTACAATTTCTCTTTTGAGTTGAGTTCATTTCTTCTGCTGGTTTACCTCTTAAACCAGCACACTATTACTTTAAAATCTGAAGTTAATTCTAAAAACAAACAAACAAACAAACAAAGGGTAATGATTGTCTTCAACACCTGCCAGATTATTCATGTAATTCTAAAATATATTTATTTTGGAAGTAAAAGTGAAAACAAGCAAATCAGAAACATTCTAATTTAACTATCAGCACTTCATGAAAGAAAATATTAGAAGTCAATTCTCTACATGCAGATATCAAAGAACTTCATAGTTTCAATTTCTGATTTAATAAGAAGAGAATCTGCATGGGTTGTGCTCAAGGTACAAATTTACTGATTATCTGTGCTTTGTTTATTTTCAATTAGGGTATTTAATTCATAGGATCCTTCCTATCTTCCATTGGTGTTTATGTCATTGATGTTTTGTTATGTGAATGGTCATACTATTATGGCCCTTTTCTGTCATATACTTAACCTTGGACTTGCTTTTCATAGGCCTAGACAGATATGCGTTAGCTAAATATTCAAAGGTATGACTGATTCAGCATCATCCTAAACAATAAACAACCAGACACCATAATAAACTACAGCCTAGAAGACATACTAAGGAGACTAGGAAGACAAAGCAGTAAGTGAAATTAACCTAGTTCATAGCAACGTTTTTATGAAGCTTCCAACTTCAAGGAACACTTAGTTATTCTAGGATTAAAAGTACTGTGTGAAAAAGCACTGCATCATTATATTTCCTTGATGCTTTTTATATATTCTTTATCTGGAGTCTTATAGCAGGAGAGAATAATGGAAATGTACATAAAAATCTTTGTTTCTAGAAGAACATGAAAATTGTCACACCATGACATTAGTGGAGGTTCCACTGAGATAAAAAGATAAGAACTATGATGCTTGTGATAACAGAAAGAGTTTGCAGACAAAGCACAGACTGTCCCATTGTAGAGAAAGTAAAGCTATAGTGATGTAAGTACTCGGAGTAGAGATAAGTTTGTGATAATGCTATATTGATGGTTGTAATAGAGAGATTTTTGATTATATTTTAGTTTGTTGAAGATTGCATGTTGATTAGAGCTTTTCAAGTTGTTGTGATACATTATATTTCGCAAAGCGAGGGGGTGGAGAGTTGTGGTGGGGGAAAAGTTTTCCCCCTGAAGTTATAAAATGGTAAACCCCCAGGGGTGGTGACCCTTGAAGTTTGAACCAATGAGCGCTTCTGCAAAATATAAACATATCAGAAGCAGACCAGAAAAGAAAGTGAAAATAGAAGGCAAATCAAGGATTTGAGACAGATGGCTAATTTTGTGTTTGTTGGGATTTAATAACTGCATTCGTCTGGACAAACGGCTGGCATAAATGACTACTGCCACAAGCACTAAAGAAGAAAAGATTGTAGATTAGGCCCACTAAGCCATTCCCTGCTATAAAGGTGGTCCTAAAGAGTGTTCATGTGCACTCCAATACAGGGTAAGTAGTCTCATCCACTTGCAATTTTACAGAATATTTCCAGGGCAAAAGCTTTTTAGTATAGCATTATCACGCCAGCTGACCAAAAGCCCAGAGTCATGCCCCAGAGTGGCTGAAGAATACTTTTCAAAATTAGAATACCTTGATATTGCACTTTTTTTGATTTCAGATTCTTTCTTCAGACACAGCAGGTCTAGAAGCATTTCTGAAAAATAACAGTTTCATTCACAGATTTCAACAGACAAAGCTCCCTTGTTGAACATGGAAAGGTTTGGTTTAAAATCTCAACCCAACAACACTAATTCAAAGTAGCCAAGGAAATAGACAGCCTATGTCATTATTCTTCTATTTTGCATAGAGACAGCTTTTGAGAATTTGCAGTTGCACCACCTGGAAAACACGCTGACATAAGTTTACCTTTTTCCAAGGTAGGGCATGAATTCCCCTCAGTCAAGTGAGGGATAATATGTTACTTTGCTGTATTAAAAGAAAAAATAATAATTGGGTGTGCAGGAAACATAATCTTGTAGAAGGTAAAATCTCTCAGAAGATTATACTGAAGACAGGCCTTAATTTCAAGTTTTGCAAAAATTCAGGAGTTACTGAATTCTAGTAATTTTCAGAAGTGTAGAGGACAACACGGGGGGTGTTGTCCAGCCGTTCTCATTTATTGCACCTCAGTCGTTGCGTGATGACTGATGATGTTTGGGAGCAAACAT